GTCAATGTGGGCCTCTGTTACCATTTCATAGAGAGGCCCAAATTGATTGTGAAAAATCTGCTAGATTGTGGTTGGGCTTGTAGAGAGGTTGTTTTCTCCTCAGCCAATAAAATCAGCTCCCGCCAATAAATAAACACAGGCTGCTGGAGCCTACACAAGCCCATAAAAGCCAAACATCCATTCAACTCAGTTCGACGGATGAATGATGCAAGATACTTGGCATCTGGATCAGACTCAACTTTCAGCTAGAAAAGAATTGGTTGGATATACAATTTGTATCTATAATTTCTATTTGTCAAAGAAAGAGTATTTTTTTTCTGAGAAAAACCTATAGTGGCATGGTGATAAGGGGTTAAAATGAACAGTTGATTTACTCATGTGAAGAAGATTAATGAAGGATGATAATGACAAAGAAAGACACGGTTAATTTTAACAAAACAAGATAAGGAATATATGAATTTACACACTTGAAGTAAGGTCACTTGCTAGTTTCAGGAAAATAATCAGAATTCTTAAATCTGTAGTTTTAATGTATTATCATGAAAAGGAAATGTTCATACAACACATTAAATGATATTAAAAAATGTTTAAAATTTTGTTGCTCCCCAAATGGATATATGGTTTGCATATGTTCAAAAGTAGAGGAAGAGAGATAGTTTGAAATGCTTAGATTTCTTGGATTTTTGAGAGAAAATTCTTTGAAGTGCCACATGCTGGTTAGAGGCTGATAACATAATTGATGAGTAATTTTATACTAGCGAGTACTTCTCTTATTCATTTAATTTAATTTTTCTCCTCATTTTATGTTTGTGTAGGCTCGCAAATTTATTTATTTCTTCTTGGCTGATCAGCTAATTTCTTTGAAGGCAAGGTTTTCATTGGTCCATAAACAATTTCACATAGGCTTGCAAATTTCTTTCCTTCATCTTTCTCAGTTCTTCAAATTTGTAGGGAGTAGGTGAAAGGAGTTATTATTTTGCACACACTACAGACCTTCCAGTCTATCTCGAGCTGAGGTAGAATAGTATTGATTTACTATTTTAAACTAATTTAACTTAGCTAGTGAATGTATGCTCATTAGCCACTTTTATGTTTTTAGTCCATTACATTTCCTTTTCTTCATATGCCCTCTTATTAGATAACAGAAAGTAAAATTCTCTGGTGATTTTTACTTTTTATTTATTTTTCCTCTCTATTTTCCCCACATTATTTTTTCAACCATTTAACTTTTTTGCCATATTAAATGTTATTTGCATTTGTTGCTGAACAACTTGGAGAGCATTTTGGGTAGCATGCGATAGATCTAAGAGGAAAGTATCCTGTTTATACAGTACCTTGTCTTTCTGATGCAGGAATGAAAATTTCTATATCTAAATGGTGATATTTAACTTTCCCTTCATACACAAGGTAAACAAGAGTTCTAACTTATGGTGCCTCATACTATAATGCCAGGATCTGGGCTTGTGATTCAGAGACAAATACACTCTGTAAGATGTTATTCCCCACGTCTACATTGAACACACAAATGATCATTATATAGACACAAGACCTTGTTATATTCCGTATTTAAATGCGTGGGCGATGTGAAAACAATGTGGGTGAAATACTGCGCTTGGTTGCAAACAATGAAATTCAGAATCGAAGGAACAAGAAAGACTGTAGATATATTTTATAGTCTTTTTAGTGAGGAAAATAAGAACAAGTAAAAGGTTCGTATTTAAGAAATTGAATGTCTATGGTAGTGGCAAGTAAAGTTTGTGGAGTTAACTTGACTTATGGAAGGGGAAAGGTACCCTTTGACAAAGTGTCGGATGAGAGTTCATTAGCAGCAGCAGTCACATGCTTCGTTCATCGCCGGGCCAGTGTGTCAGGAGCGAGCGACGTGACCCTTCTGCCCCCACCGTTGAATGGGACTCCTTTTTGACTTTCCTGTGTTGAACTTATACACGCCTATCGGCTCCAAATGGCAATTTTTGACTATCTGGGAGACGGTCCGATTGGTTGATTTAATTCTTTTCATTTTTTTTTTTGAGTTTATCCCAAACAGAAGTATCTGCGCCGAGCCTATCATGCAGACGTGCAGTTTTCATTTCGAGTCGGGGACTCGTGATGGTAACTTCTGTTTATCGAAGCAGGGCAAGATCTCATCTTGTAACAACCTGCTCCTACCATTGAACAATATAAAATGTCATTTCATCCTCCATGTGACCCTTTTGTTGTACCAATGGAGACATTAATGGCAATGTTATGGCATCAGTGGTAGTTTGCCTAGATGCACCTGTATCTTTGCTAAAAATAAACAATTTTCAATGATGCGTGTTGACACTCCAGGGCCATATTTGCTCTGATCTGTGCTGAGGGTGTAATGTGATCTGCCAATGGTGTCCTTATGATGCATTGATCTTAGTGAGTGCCTGTACTATGTGACTGTTCAGAACTTAGTTTGCAGATGTTGCAATGTTCATTTTAACTACTTTTGCCATCATCGTGTGGCAGAGGCAGAAATTGGTAACCTGGAAGACAGAACTTTGTTGTTGTTAATTCCTTCTCCGCTTCAGCAAACATAAATTCAAGGAAAAAGAAGATATGAATATGGGTAAATAAATGTATAATTTATTTACATATATACAAAACTAGTAACTTCTATCTGTTGCTGATGCTAAAGCAACAGGGAGAGGGAATGGTGACATTAGAAGTGAAATAGATATTGATGATGGCTGTCATTGTCGATGGTGTTTCTCTCAACACATCAGTGTTGACATGAATGCTGGTTTGAATCACATCTTGCTGGTGTTGACATCGAATGCTGGTTTGTTTAAATTTGAGAATATATAGCTGTCAATTGGCTCCAAATTAAGGTTTTGTTTTTTTTGAGCAGCAGTGGCTCTGACTGGTCCATATATTGTTGAATTTATTTTGGTTAAAGTGGATGTATGCAACGAGCCTATGTGCAGAAAATATATTTATGCAGTCTGCTTTGGGTTGTTCAGTGGTCAGCATCCGATTTGTGTAGAAGATGTAAGAGGCACAACAATCAAAGCACCACCGATGTGTCACATCCAACATGTGCAGTAATTCTTCAAAATGATCAACCAGTCTCCAGAAGTTGCTTCTTCACATAATCATACTGCTATCAATATTACGATAGGACATGATGGGACAACACCTGACTCATTCAGTTAGCCCACCTATAACTTTTACTGTATTGCATCTGCATTTGGCAGGAAGCATGATTGTCATTCTCTTGGTTATTTAATACCAACATTTTTTAGCTAATTCATATTTGTCAATTGACAGTAATTATGGTAAATCATATTTAGGATAATTAAATCAAAATAATATTTAAATTTAAAAAAAAAAAAATCAAATGCAACGATTCTTTTTTCTGTAAGGAAATGACTAAATGACACTTATTGATACATTTTAGTGCAAAAATAAGATCATAGACCCAATTTCATTAGCTGCAGTGAACATTAAACTCTGATGAATATGGTAGGGTCAAGCTGACAAACTTGGAATACTGTCATTGACATTTTCCACCCAATAAAAATTCGCCTAATAAAAGCATTTATTTTCATCCAGTTAATCCTCTAATTAGTAAATGATTCTCAGTCAACTTTGAAATGCGTTTATGAACCTGTAAAGTGTAAATTCTTAATAATAGTTACAATTATTGTAACTATTAAGAATAGGTTCATAAACGCATTTCACAAAGTGATCGGGTCGACGAGCATAAAATTTTCTTTCGGTATCACGCAAAAAAATGCATTTATTTTAAATTATTAATCTTTCATATTTTTTTTTTACTGTTTTAAAAAAGTAGTTCTAAAATTAACATTTAGTTCAACGTTTTCCTAGTTTTTTTAAAGTAAAAGTTGATGGCAAATTATCAAAGGATAAACTTTTGATTTTGTTTGTTTTCCATCCACTTTCTTCGTGTACACACAGTAGCGTGTGATCAGTTACAAAAAAAAAAATAAAAAAAAATAAAAAACAAATGTTTTAGTTTTCGTTACTATCTGACGCACAAATAATATTGAGTGAATTTGATTGCCACACAAAATGTAAAAACATTGACCACATTTTCCCGCGTACACTATTTTGTGAAAGAACATTTATACGTTTTCAATGATGCTAAAAAACTAAAGATTCCCACGTTTAGAAAAAAAATAATACTGTTAGTTAGTCACTAACAGTTAGTGTTAATTAATTACAGTACACGACACAGCCTTTCAAATTCTCAGTATCCAAATATTTCTTAGTGAATTAAAAATCTCTTGTAAACCAAACGGTTTCTGGACACATTTAGCAATATCTTGAGTACTGCTCTTGATAAAATAATTACGTAAATAAATGGGTTGTCAAAGAAAAAAAATATAACATTTATAATCTGAAACACAGCATGACACAAGAAGTTGGTGTTATTTTTGAGACAAGTTATGTCCCTTGTACTAAAAAAACGAAACAAAACAAAAGTACTTGGTAGCATGGCGGCCGTTACTTGTCCAGTTTGCAATCAGAACTTTTCAAGTTATTTGATAAATCAACATGTAAACGATTGTTTGAACTGTGAAGAAGAACTGAAGGACCAAGACGAAATCCCAAATAAATTGACACCAGATGTAAATCTTCAGAAATCACCCATGAAGCGAAAAATAGATTGTAATGATAGTAGAACTAATAATTCTTTAGCATGGGGATGTCTACAACCACAAGAATCTAAAAAACTTAAACCTGATAACAACATATTGTTAAAAAGTAAACAGTGTCCAAATTCACCAAACAGTGCTTTCAAAATAACTTCTAATGATTTAATGTCAAAGAAGAAAAATTTTTTCAATTTATCAGCAACAAAATCAGCCAACGAAGAAACTTCATCATTTAACTCAACAAAATCGTCAGCCACAAACTTCGAATCAGTTGTTAATAAGGACGGAAAGAAAGAAACCCTGTCTGAGTTTGATGAAGTGTTTAATTTTAAAATTCCACTAGCGGAATCCATGCGCCCTAAATGTTTGTCCGAGTTTATTGGACAACAAGAGTCTTTGGGTGAAGAGTGTTTCTTACGGAGAGTTTTGTTGACAAATTCAGTACCGCCTTCCATCTTATTTTGGGGACCCCCTGGATCTGGGAAGGTAAGTAAAAATAAATACTTTTGTTGCCCGTTAATAACAGGTAAAAAAATAAATAAATGAACAAATCCATTATGTGCACAAATAAATGACAGAAGAAAATAAACATTTAAACTAAAGTAACTGTTAGTTAAGTGTTAATTTGAGTGTCATAAAGAAAAAAATTAAGTTGTTTAGGCGGACATGTACTTCTATTTTTTTTTTATTTTTTATTAAATGTGACATGATGAATGAAATGACCAATTAATTACACCATTATACGACTGATTATTATTTTTTTTAATGTAATTTTAAAAGCTAATTCCTTGGTGAGATGTTTTCTATTTTAGTCATTGTTTTTATTTTTTAAATCGAGTTATTTGTAAATATGTTTTGGGGAAATTAAAAATAAATTATTAAAATGACGGTGAAAAACTAACTAACACATCACCCAAGAAATCTTTTTTTTATTTGTTAAATTATGCTTGTTTGAAAACAAGCCTTATTACTGTTTATGAACTTTTTTTTTATTCTTTTATAAATAACACTATTTTGCTATTTATTCACTTTGCAAACCAAATTAGCACATTTCAACATAACCGTAGGAAACAAAAAAACCCCCAAAATAACCGGTATTATTGAAAAACAATCAAAATAAATAAATAGATTTTTTTTTCATATTGATATCATGAAAGTGAAACTATTTTTAGAAGTTATAAACAGTTAACAATAACATCTAGAAAATTAAAATCACTGCTTAATAAAGATTTATTTTAAAGTAAAGTAAAAATTCTGAACTAAATTTTTAAATCAAACATTCGCTAATCGACTTCACGACGCTTGAATCATTACTGCAGCGAAGTACCAAGTTGGAACCTAACGTTCTTTAACATGAAATAACTTCACTGAAAATCAAGCTACAATTTCAACCAAACATCTCACTCATCAACTTGTAAAATTTTACATTCTTATTCAATTACGTTATTGAATCAGACGAACTTTTACAAACAATTACGAACAATACATTTAAAACTACGAGCAACGAAAACAAACGGAACATTCACTTCTCCAACTTCTTTAAAGCTAAAAGTTTATTAACATATTTTCAGCTTTATAAGATTCTCTTTCAGTGAACATTTTGAACTACAAGTTAATTCATTTTTTGTGAGCTCGGACAAAAAATGGTTTTTTTATTAGTAAAAACATTAGCCCAGTCAAAGGGAAGTAACTCTTATTATTGTTATTGTAAAAGTAAAACTGTTGTTTTTTTTATAAATATAAATATTGTTCCTGATTAAGAAAAGTTATTTTCTTGTATTTCTTCTCTTGTTTGCTTTTTATTTTCTTGCACATTCGTAAAGTAAAAAATGTGTGGGTTGATTTATTCCGTCAATACCACTACAATCTACTTGAAACACAATGACACAAACTAAACTAAAAACAACGTTACTTTGCTTTGCTTCCTGCAAACATAAAAATCTCTCATTTTGAACTACTAAAATCAACAAATGTTATCTACTTGAAATGCAATGTCAAACTAACAAAAAGTTCTTTTCGTTGCTTTCTGCAAAGTCAACAAACAAATATGAGTTTATAAAAGTTTATATTGATATCATTTCAGTTTACGAAACTAGTTAGAAGTTAACAATAACATCTAGAAAATTAAAATCATTGCTTTTTTAAACTTTAGGGCTCCTAGGCTGCAGCCTATACTGATTCAGATTATCTCTTATGCTAGTAAATCCGGCTCTACTTATCGCCTGTAATAGTAATAATAATAATTTTGTAAAGTCTCTGCGTCAGAAGTAGAGATTGAAAAAATTTCTAACATCACACAAGACTAAGAGACTAAGTGTGTGCTTGGAACTATTTTCTGAAATTACTAGATAGGGGAAAATTATTATTATTATTGTATCATTTCATTCCAAACAAAGCCACTAAGAAGGGTCTCTACTGTAAAGTGAAATAATCTGAGAAAAATCATTATTAAGGAGAGAGGACAATAAGAGAGCTGGATTCAAGGAGACAACTGGCTGAAAAGTAAGAAACGAGAACAGAGTTATGCAAGAGAAGAAACTGTTTATTAAACTTATGGTTACATCTAGCAATTTAAACTGTAAAATGGTGAGACCTAACTGCCAGTCTAGTACTGTGCTTAAATTTATAAAGTCAAGTTACCAAAAAGTATCAGAAGAGTTACCATAAAAAAAGTCACAGGGAAGCTATGTTACAGTGGTGAGAAAGTGACTGAAGCTGAGATGCCAGTTCAGGACCAATAATATTGCAGATTTTTGTTTGGATTTTGTCAAGAATCTCTGAGCACCAGACCAGATGTGACAGCAATATTCAATGCATAGATTAATGGTAGACTTCAAAAGGCGTAAGATAGATTCTGGAAGGAAAATTTGTTTAAAACAACACAGTGAACCAACTTTCTTAGCAACAAATCTAGCAATTGATTCAATAATTGTTTCACTTCATGTCAATGGAAAATGTTAACCTGAGAAGTCTCAACGAGTCGTGTTGATGGAAGGCAAAAAAGGTACTCTAGAGAGTAGTTTAATCTTGGAGATGTTAAAATTAACAATTTTAACAGCTCCAAAATTAAACTACTCAATTCTTGTCCCATTTAACAGATTGAAGGTCATTTTTGAGATCGGCCAATTTGACCTTTTCAAACCCATCAGACTTGCCATTATAGATGTGATAACAGCATAGAATCTGAGTTAACAACAAATGACATATAAGAAATACCAGGTGAAACCATAATCTTCTTGCTTCACACCTACCTGTGGAGCCATTATTTATAAAAAAAAAAAAATCATAAAAAATATGAAAGTTTTTGATTGCACCAATCAGTCACTGAGCTGATTTGCCATTTTATCACACATTTGAGCAGGTTAAATAATGTTTTTTTTTGTTTACTTTAATTTGTTACTGAATGTCATATCAGACATTATTATCTCCTCTCTGGTGTATTGAAGTTTTCTTTATTTATTATTGCTTTTTTTAGTCATATTATAAATCACATTCTTGTAAAACTTCCACTTGTTTTGTTTTCACATGCCCTTATCATATGGTAAAAAAGTTAAGTGGGATTAATTTAAAAAAGCTCTAAATTAGCTGAATTTTTCTTTTCATTTTTATTTGTTCACTTTTTTTACTGCTTTATTTTGTCTCCATATTGTTTTCTTTAAGTCTGTAAACAACATACATATGAGTAATTTTTATTTACATTATTCAGACTGTTATCCATTGCCATATTCACAATGTTTCGGCTGTTGTACGCTCCGGACTTCTTCAGGTGATTAGAATTTTGAACTGAACACTTTATTTCATCTACCGGAGTAGATTGTTCTAGTTCCACGTGTCATGCCTCTTCCGGATGTATCAGTTATTTCCCTTTAACTCAACTCTCCAAGTTTTGTGTTCACCACTGTTGTAGCCTGGTATTGGACTCACAACTCTTTTGGGTTTGGTCACTGTATCTAACCAATGTCTTTATCCACTGGGCCATGTGTCTTTGAGGACATATGTGTATGAATTTCTAGGACTTATAAACCTAATGTCTCAGCAACCATTTTACCAGTTGCAATTTTTCCTTTATTATTATTGCCTACATTCACCGTTCAACTCCCACCACCCATACAGTGTAAAAAAAAAAAAAAAAAAGGGACTGTCCACTGCTTACAACATTGAGCAAAATTTGTAAGTGGCACCCCAGAGACATATGAACAAGAAATAATCAGTATAAGCAGTACCCTACAATATAACAACTACCTGGGTACATGACAGCAGCTCCAACAAACTGGGATAGAAGGGTACAAGAGAATAACAACACTCAGAAAACAGCTTCAGTCTGTCTACGCCTATGCGAGAGGGATTATTGGAGAAAATACAAAAGATCTGTGGTCTATATGGCATCAGGACAATCTGGTTCAACATTTTGCAGACAAAGTAAGACTACCCTTAGAGGAGAAGATGACTAAAGACTGTGTGTATGCCATTCCGTACAGCTGTAGTAATAAATATAAAGGAGAAACAGTTTGCCCCTTTACACTAAGACTGCAAGAACATTGTAAACATGAGGGGAAATGAAAAAATCAGGTGTAGCTGACCACATATGGAGGGAAAAAGGAGATCACCACCCACTGTAGGATGAGGTTGAAATAATAGACAGAGAACATCACTGGAAAATATGAAAACTTAAGGAATCAGCACATATGCTAGGCCACAAAAATATTCTGAGTTGACCAAGAATAGAAATGAATACAATATGGGAACCATTAATAAGGAGTGCTAGAGAAAAGCAATGAATAACAACATAAAAATTGCAATATAAGGTAAAAAATATGCAGTAATAATGATGAAAAAATTGCAATATGAGCACTGGTAAAAAACGGTTGCTGAGACATGAGGTTTATAACACCCAGAAATTCACACACACATGTAATCAAGGACACATGTCCAGTGGATAAAAATAGATCTGGTGACAAGACCCAAAAGTGTTGTGAATTCAATACTAGACTACAGCAGAGAGTTAAAGGGAAATAACTGAGACATCCAGAAGAAGCATGACACATGGAACTAAAACAATCTACTCCAGTGGGTGAAATAAAGGGTTTGGTTCGAAATTCCAATCACCTGAAGAAGGCTGGAGCATACAATGGGCGAAACGTGAATATGCCAATGAAGATGAGGATAACAGTCTGAATAATGTAAATAATGATCTCATCTCAGAGATATAGACAAATATTGAGTAATTTTTTTCCCTCAATTTAGAGAATTTGTGCATGGTATCAGTAGTACAGAATTTGTGGAGTAGTACAGTTATTTACTAACTTAGTTTTGTTCTTGGTTGAAATTTATAAAATCTTTCTCTTAAAACAATATTTCAGGAAAATAGTCTTTTGAAGTCAAGTAGCTGTTCATTCTTTTCAGTATTGATGGGGGCTTGATCATTAACCTTTTTAGAGGGACCAATTTTTTTGTTTCAAATTTTCCTTAATTCTGTTTCAGCAGAT